GATTAACCACGCAGTGCCTAGAGAGTTTTCTGACCTCCATGACGCCATCTTCGGATCTCCTGCAGCCGGCATGGTTGTTTCTCTAGTCAAATGGCCAAGCTTCCCTCTGCCATCAATCGCCAATTTCACGGATTGAGCCCATTCCATAGAGTTTTGACAATTCAGCCTATGGTTTGTTAGTTGGAAAGGTATATTCGAACCCAGAAAATTTTCACCACTGTTGGTTGTTCCTCCGTTGCTGGCTGTACCTCCTCCACTGGTCACCAGAACTGTGTTCTGTGACTGTGCATCTTCAGCCACAGCACCACTTGAACCAGTCATCGCCCGCTTGTAATTCATCTAGGGCAGAATTATTTTTAGAGCCGTGGCTCTGATACCATTAAGGTATTTTAGGAGAGAATTGAGCACTTTTATTTCTCTTCTAATTCTTACATAAACCGGCCTCCTTATATAGATGAGCCAGAGACTAGCAAAATAAGAAAAATAAAACAAATAAGTAAACAAATCAAAATAAACAGAAACTGCCTAATATTCTAATCCCTCGACTTTAGCTATCAATCATCATCATTCCTCTATATTTGGACAGAATTAGGACAGCTATACATTCCTAATTTACCGACACTATTGATTGAATCAAAACGTTACATGTTAGGGTATATTTATCCCTATACACAAAATCAGAAAATTACACAAAATATTCTAGAATCCTCCTAGTCAAACCCCTACAAATCAGGCATTCTTATATCAATCAGGAAACTACCCAAAATCTCCCATAATCTACAATTGTACAGTTGTACACGTTTTTTCTTAAATTCAAACTAAGCAAATATTCCAATACTCCCCCTCAAGCTGGGGTGTAGATGTTCTCCATTCCCAGCTTGCTCGCAATTCTCTGAAACACTAGATTAGCCAATCCCTTAGTAAGGATATCAGCCAACTATCGATCAGAAGATACGTAAGGAGTACAAATCAAGCTACTTTCAAGTTTCTCCTTTATGAAATGCCTATCAACCTCCACGTGTTTCGTTCGATCATGTTGCACTGGGTTATGTGCAATGTTGATAGCAGATTTGTTGTCACAATAAGGTTTCATAGGCGTTTCCCATTTGATTCTGAACCCATAGGAAAGTAACATACATAGAAATAGCAGTTTTCCTAGTTTTAGGATTGAAACATTTATACCCTTTTTTATTTGGTGCATAACCAGTAAAAACACATTTTTCAGCCCTTGGGTCTAGCTTAGACCGCCCCTTACTAGATAAGTGAACGCAAACAGTGCGGCCAAAGATTTTAAGGGGAAGATTAGATTGAATACGTGTCTCAAAAAATATTTTTTTAAAACAATCAAGAGGTGTGCTAAAGTTGAGAACACGAAAGGGCATCCTATTGATCAAATAGGATGCTGTTAAAACAGCTTCACCCCAAAGATATTTGGGAACATGCATGGAAAACATAATGGCACGTGAGACTTCAAATAGGTGTTTATTTTTGCGCTCAACAATGCCATTTTGCTGAGGTGTATCAACACAAGTAGATTGATGATGTATGCCTTTTTTTCTCTTAAAAAACTTCCAAGAACTTCTTTAAAATATTCAGTGCCATTATCAGTATGAGAATCCCAATGTTAGTTTGAAATTGGGTTTCAACCATTGAATAAAAATTTTTAAATAAGTTCGCAACCTCAGATTTTTCAATCATTAAATAAACCCAACATAAACAAGTATGATCGTTGATAAAAGTCACAAACCATTTTTTTTCAGAAAAAGTATTGATCCTCGAAGGACCCCAAACATCACAATGGATTAAATAAAAAGGTCTTGAGGCTTGATAAGGCCGGAAAGGATAAATAGTTCTATGACTTTTTGATAAAATGCAGTTTTCACAATGAAACTTAGAACAATCCAAACCACGAAATAAACTGGGAAATACTTTTCTGAGATAATTAGGATGTCCTAGCATATAATGCCAAAGCATAATTTTATCCTTAACAGGGATAGAATTGATACTACTTAAGCCTTGAGCTTTTTTATTCGTAGAGTCTTCATCTCCAAAATAGGAGACCATCTATCATTCTAGCACTGCCAATCATCTTCCCCGAGCTCTGTTCCTGAAAAACACGATGAGATTCATGAAAGGTGACATGATAGTTAGAATCTCTACACAGTTTACTGACTGACAGGAGATTACAAGCAAGTTTAGGAACATGGAGAACAGACTTAAGATAGATGGTTTTAGACAAATTAATTAAACCTTTACCGGCTATAGGCGAATAGGAACCATCTGCTATACTAACTTTTTCATGTCCAGAACAAGAGGTATAAGTATGAAATAAATGAGAAAAACTTGTCATATGGTCAGAAGCTCCTGAATCAATTATCCAAGGAGTAGAATAGGACTGAAAAAGACAAGATAGGGCATTTGATTCACTACCTGTTTGAGCTAGAGAAGCATTAGGAGTACCCGACAAACCGGAGTTGGATTCGGCCTCATGTGCAGCGGAAGAACGAGTGAACGACCTTCATGCGAGCCCTTCCAACCTGCTGGTTTACGATGAATCTTCTAGCAGGTTTCACGCGTATGGCGTGGTTTATTACAGTGATCACACCAAATTTGGGACTTTTCATCATGCTTTTTAGGGGTGGTTCGGCCAACATTAACACCAGCAGCAAGGGCAGAATTTTCAACAATGCTGCTGCCAGAATTCTTCTTGTCGAGCATGACAAGGCGACAGCTCTCCTCATGACGGACTTCAGAAAATACTTCCCCAATAGATGGGAGGGGCTGCCTACCAATTATCCTTCCTCTAACCTCATCAAACTCAACATTAAGGCCAATAAGAAATTTAAATATACGGTTGTCCTCTACCGTCTTCTTATAGTGGTTACAATCCTCCGGGGATTTCCACTCATAATCATTAAACAAGTCTAAATCCTGCCAAAGGCGTTTCAAAGAATTAAAATACTTAGCAACACTGTCCTCACCTTGACGTATTTCTCCAAGTTTTTAGCGTCAACTCATACACCTGGGACTGATTTCCCGAGTTAGAGTACATTTGGTTGACATTGTCCCAAAGCTCCTTAGCCGTGTGATAGCACATGTAGTTGGAGCTGATATATTCCTCCATTGAATTCACCAACCAGGTCATCTCCATGGAGTTCTCGGCATCCCAAGTTGAATAAATCGGACCCTCTGCTGCAAGTTCCTTCTTCTCTCCTATCAAATAGCCAATTTTTCCCCTGCCACGAATGTACATACGCATCGACTGAGACCAGCGCAGAAAGTTTTCTCCATTTAGTCTGATGGTAGTAATCTAGATGGAGTGGGATTCCGAAGTGGGGGCCTGGGTTTCATTGGCTTTAGGTCGGTTTACATGAGTGTTTGTGGACTCGGAAACTACGTCAGACATGGTGGGTAGTAGCTGAGTTTAGGCGGAAGCAGATTTGTAGAACAGCTAGGGTTTTTTTTTTCTCAAAGTGATCAGATAGGCTTTGATACCATATCAGAGTTTTGAGAAAAAACGTTATTGTATTGCTATGTTTGTTCTGTATACAATGTACACTAAAATAGGAATACAAGAAAGCTATTTTAGGAAACTAATAGCAGTACAAACTCAATCACCTACCTAACTAATTTCCTAATTTCTACCTTTGACTTAATCTTTCCTTACACGCCCAAATCTCCTACTATATGGTTTACTTACAGAATATTTTCCAACAATTCTCCTCTCTTTTCTTATGCCGCACACTATTAGTAGGACAATCTCATTCATCCTCATAACACAAATCCAATTCCTACCATAAAGTTACCATCTCGTTGTAGTATGTTGTGACATCATGATCTCCTTGCCTAGATTGCCACAGCTTCGTTTTTAGTTTTAAGGCCTCGTTCACTTTGCGGATTTGAGTTTTCAATTCGAGCTGAGATGTGATATTTTCTGAAAACTTTTCACTGTAGCAGAAAAAGATAGATGTGACATTTTCTAAGAGCTTTTTACTGTAGAAACTTAAAACTGAAAACTCGAATCGGTGAAATGAACGAGACTAAGATTTGCGATGAGTTTTTCAAGTCTGAGTACATCTCACGTACAGCTTCCCACACATCTCTGGTGATTGGTAAGAATAGATGGGATTTCCCAATAGCCGGCTCCATTGAGTTGATGAGCCACGCCATTATCAACGAATTCTCAGACCACCATGCCTTCAGATTTGGATCACCCGCTGCTGGTTTTTTTACTACTCCGGTTAAATGGCCAAGTTTGCCTCTTCCATCAATTGCGAGCTTCACGGACTGAGCCCACTCCAAGTAATTCTTGCCATTTAATTTATGAACAGTTATCTGAAGAGAAGGATTCACATATACTGCTGATGGATCTATGCCACTGGTTATGGCCATGATTTAGGACTATTCATTATCTACGGAATCCTTTGAAGAAGCAAAGGTCTTGCTCCGATCATGGCAGCCTTTGCCATTAAAACTTAAGAGCTGGCTCTGAAACCATGTAGGTTTTTTAAAAGAAAGAGAACTACTTTTTCTTATTCATATCATAAGGAATTTACAAGATATTTATAGGCATAAAACTAACTTAGAAAATCTAACCTAATCAAGGAATGATAACCGGAATCCCTGTTATCATTATCCGGAACTAACCAAAACAACTTATCCGGATTTTAACTTTAAAAACAGAATCAAGAAAGAGATAACTCTTAACTTTTAGAATAATAGTCTCCTAAATTTAAAAAACCCTAGGTCTTCGACAAATAATAATAACGACAACAATAATTTTTTTTAAAAGAAATAAAAAATAAAAAAAATCTGTTGAAACCTGTGCTTACAACAGTGATTCTTCAATCAAAACCAGAAGAGTTCGAAATGTAGAATGACGTTAGAACTGAATGACTTTGCAAGAAGTCAAAATAAAAATAAAAAAAAAATAAAAAAAACAATTCGAGACAGAAGCACTTCATATATTTGAAACCACCATAATGCTTTCAAGCACAAACCTTTTGCCTGCTCTGGACGACAAAACTCCCAACCATCTCTGATGCACAAAGACGTATGTGCAGGATACCGCTTGGCAAGTGCCACCTCCTCCCGGGAAAGATCTATTCATACCCATATCAATAACAAGTTAAATTGTGACCTACTCTGTGTGTGTGTGTATATATATATGTAAGAGTGGATATCCTACTCTTGTATCTTTTTAGTCATCTAAAATGCACCGTTTTAGGTGCTCTCTATTTTTTTTAAAACTTTTTTCTCTTCTTTTCTTTTATTGCTTTTCTTTTTTTTAAACCCTTTTAACTTTTTGATTCTCTTATTTTGCTTTACTTTTTAGTCCCTCTATTCTCTTACCCTTAAAACAGCTTGATTTTTTTTCCCGTTGTAACTCCATCATTTTCATGTTTTACATTTTTTTATTCATCACACCATTTTGGTGCTCTCTTTTTTTTTTTTTTTTACCTTCTTCCTTTTCTTTTTTTTAAACTATTTTTCTAACCTTTTTTCCTCTTTTGTTTTTTTATTTTTTCTCTATTTGACTATTATAGTCTCTTACCATTAAAACTACTTGAATAATTTAACTCCATTATTTTTGTATTTTTACCTTTTTTATTCATATTTTACTCTATTTGTCTACCATTGTAATTAACAAATGATGCTTTAACCCTTTTCTTCTTTTTCGGTGCTATACTTTTTTTCCATTTCTTTCTTTATGGTTTCATTTATCTACCGTAATCTCTCACCCTCAATATTCTCTTACTTTTTTCCTTTCTTTTCCTCTGTCATTTTTTCCCTAGTTCAACTTTATCGTTCTCTCTCATAGATTTCTTAAACCTTCAATCTCAACTCTCACTGGTATGATTTCTTTGATTGTGATCAATTATTATTTTAATTATCGTTAGTTTCTTTCACTTTTCATGATAAAATGAATTAATACACGGCATATATTTTATACATCTTATGATATTTAGACCTCTAAAAGTATGTGTCGGAGGGTCAAAATAAAAGAAGTGCATATATTCATAAGTTATTTGTGCAAATAACTCTTTTCTTTTTCTTTTAAAATCTCCAACTAAAATAGTTTCTTGTATTTATTTTTTCTATTCATAATGTATGTCTTTGTAATTTATTATATAATCTACGTTAAAGAAAACTTCAGTTACAACTTAACACGTGCATTGCACTTACCTCAACTAGATAAATATCTTAAATCCTAAATTCTTACTCCTAAATACTATCCTATTATATAGAAGAGTGGATATGTGGCTACTGTTAATGAAATAATCCGAACGGTGAGTTATTGTTGAAAACCGGCATTCAATTAGTTATAAATCTTGGGAATTGTTTATTTTTGGAATAATTTTAGGAGAGAATCCGGTAATATATTACCCGATTCCTTGTTACTATTTCCTAGTTTAGTGGAGATTGTTTCCTTGTTTACTCTAGTCTAGGATCTTTACTTAAGGAAAGTTCCTCTGTATATATTCTTTGTATTTCTTCCACTCTAAAGAAATAGAAAATCAGAGAGCAATTCATTCTCTCAAATACTACATAGTACCAGAGCCATTAGGAATCCTATCGGCCATCTCGCCTCAGCTCTCACGTAAACACTTGTTCAGTGCCGTTTGTCGTGCAAGAGTCGTAGCCACCTTTGGTCTCTGAAACCTAATTCTCCCTCATGACCAAGTACGGCATGACTACTGAAAGATCAAGCTCAATATCAGAAGTGAACTCCAGCCCCGAAGTGGCATCTGCCATCAATCATCATGGAGGGGAGGAAGGCACCTCTATCCTCATCACCGGTCACAAACTCAATGGCCACAATTATCTTTAGTGGTCTCAATCTGTGATGATGTTCATCTGCGGGAAGGGCAAGGATGAATATCTCACCAGTGAAGTCACAATTCCAGATACGAAAGATCCCAAAATTCAGGACATGGAAGACTGAAAATCACATGATCATGTCTTGGCTGATCAACTCAAGGAACAACAACATAGGAGAAAATTTTCTCCTATACGGGACTACAAAGGAGATATGGGATGCAGCACGAGAAACATATTCCAACTCCGAAGACAACTCAGAACTATTTGAGGTTGAAGCCGCACTACATGACCTACGCCAAGGAGATCTTACAGTCACTCAATACTTCAATACCCTCACCCGCCATTGGCAGCATCTCATGTTTGAAGTCCATCCATGAAAGTGCTCAGAAGATACAAAACTATACAGGAAATTGTGGAGCAGAAACGAACTTTCAAGTTCCTTCTTGGTCTCAACAAAAACCTAGACGAAGTCAAGGGGAGAGTGATAGGAACGAAACCTCTTCCAAGCATAAGGGAGGCCTTCTCAGAAGTTCGTCGAGAGGAAAGCATAAAGAAGCTAATGATGGGATCTCAAAATTCTGCTCCAACCATTGAAGAATCTCCATTAGCAGCTCATGGATGCCAAACAAGCAGCCTGAGTGAAAACAGGCAGAGGAAAGGAAGACCGTGATGTGATCACTGCCGTAAATCAAGACATCTCAAGGAGACTTGCTGGAAAATCCATGGCAAACCTATTTATTGGAAGCCATCACGACCAAACAATGACAAGGACAGCCGTGCAAGTCCTACTCAAGCCGAAAACAGTCCATTCACTAAAGAGCAACTTGAAGTCCTTCAAAAACTCTTCAGTCAGAATGTTTTATCTCAGACAACCACTACTAGAATTTTTTATCTCAGACAACCACTATTGCCTCTGGATCTAGCATGCTTCAAAGGCCTTTGCTGTTAATAAACGTTTCACATTGGATTATTGACTCAAGGGCTTCAGATCATATGACGGGCGATGCTACCATATTTCACGAGTACGCCCCATGACTTGGGAATTATACAGTTCGAATAGCATATGGTTCTTCATCCGGGGTTAAGGGAACAAGCTTAATCAGAATCACAAAGGATGTAATCCTACATTCGGCTCTTTATGTTCCTAATTTGAACTGCAATTTACTCTCCATCAGTAAATTAACTCGTGATCTCAATTGTGAAACTAAATTCTTTCCAAACCATTGTGAATTTTAGGAATTGGATTCGAGGAAGACAATTGGCAGTGCTGAGATGTGTTTTGGACTCTTATCTCCTCAAAGATGATAATCCTTCAAGAAGGCAAATTCAGAATACTAGTTGTGCGTCGTTTAAAAGTCAATCCCGTCTAAATACTTGTGTCAATTAAGATAGTGAAGTTATGACACTATCATCTTGGTCATCCTAATTTCATGTACCTTCAAAAACTATTTCCATCAATATTTATCAATAAAAATGCAAAGTTCTTTAATTGTGAAGTTTGCCAACTTTCCAAACACACTCGTAATAGCTATCCCAGTTCCTAATATAAACCATCTCGTCCCTTTACTTTGATACACAGTGATGTATGTGGTCCCTCAAAAGTAAGAAATATTAACAGGAACATGATGGTTTGTATCATTTGTTGATGATCATATTAGATTGACATGGGTGTTCCTCATGAAAGAGAAATCTGAAGTTGGACAAATCTTCCAAAATTTCAACTCTATGATTCAGACACAATTCCATACCAAGACCCAAGTCCTAAAAAGTGACAATGCCAAAGAATACTTCAAATCTATCCTAGATACCTATCTGATGAGTCAAGGAATTGTCCACTTAAGCTCTTGTGTTAACACTCCCCAACAAAATAGGGCTGCAGAGAGGAAAAAAAGGCACTTATTAGAGGTAGCTCAATCTCTCATGTTCTCCACTCATGTTCCAAAACATTTATGGGGAGAAGCAATACTCACAGCCACATACCTAATCAATCGGAATGCCCTCCAGAGTTCTCAAGTTCCAAACTCCATCTCAAATTCTTCTCCAAAACTTCCCACACACCAAATTCATCCCCTCTTTAGATCCTAAAGTATTCGGGTGTTCTGCCTTTGTCCACATGCACTCTCAACATCGTGGCAAGTTAGACCCAAAATCCATCAAATGTATCTTTCTTGGGTATTCCTCACACCAAAAGGGTTATAGGTGTTACTCCCCTATAAAAAAAGAATCTACAACTCAATGGATGTGACATTTTTTGAACGCCAATCCTTCTATCCCAAACCTGCAATTCAGGGGGAGACCATGAGGGAATATCAGTTTTGGGATCTTGACATACAGTTCGGGGACACTTCATTATCTTAGCCTAATTCATCACCTATTTCAAATCCATCTCAACTACCCGAGAGTCATCCTATTCCTACACAATCTGAGAGTCACCTTCTTGCAAGTCCTCCTACAAGTCCATCCCCCTCTCTTGTTCGAGATCATCCTCAACAAAGTGCCGATAAGGAGCTAATTGTTTACTCCAAGAGGAAGAAATCTAGAAAGTTGATAGAGCACACAACACCTTTCATACTTGACCAAGAAGCATCTCCCCTACTTAACTGGCGCCAAACTTCTGTTGTTGTTTCGCCGGGACATGGATCCTGTGGCACTAGCGGTTCGATATGGAGCTGCCACTGGACATGTTTTTGTATATATATCCATGTCGCGAAGTGCGAAGGGGGTGGTTCTTTTTGGGTAGTCACGGGAGATCGAAGCCCGTTTTAGGTAAATTAATTCAGGGAATTCCCTCTTCTTCACATGGCTGGAAGCCAATGTTCTTCATGGTCAAGGGCCATTTTAACCTCCATCTCACTGACCGCAGACCTAGGCCTCGAGGCATTCAAACATCGTTCGGGAGATTAAGTGAGCGCCCTACCGGTAGTTGTTTGGTGTTCTTCCTTGCTCTAATCACTTTGTGATACTAACTTCTTTCCTCTCCTGCAAATTCTCAAGATCACCAAAAGCTTTTTGGAACTAGGAAGGCGAGGGTTCTCGCGGCTTTTAAGCTCCTAGAGGACGAATGCCACATCGACGTCCTCTTAACCGAGGCTAATCTTAGGGAGTCGGGCCTACTGCTATCCCTTCCTGATCCTACCCACCTCCACGCCGTTCAGGAATTTTTTAACCTCAGCGCAGAGAGTAAGTTCTACTAATCTTGACTGCTTATTCGCATAAATGCTTGATCGGCTCCCCTCTTCTCTATTTAGGTAAACTTTTTTCTTTTTGCTTCGCAGAAATG